TTGCAACTATTTTGAGCAGCAGTTTTAGCTTCAGTTTTTGAACCACTTTTAGCACCAGCTTTAGCACCAATTTTAGAACAATTTTTAGAAACATTTTTAGAAACACATTTAGAAGTATGTTTAGCACCAGTTTTAGAACCATTTTTATCAGCAGTTTTAGCACAAGTTTTAGAATTATTTTTATAAACAGTTTTAGCACCAGGTTTAGAAACATTTTTAGCACCAGTTTTAAAACTATTTTTAGCATCAGCTTTCGCACCTGGTTTAGAACCATTTTTAGAAGCAGTTTTAGCACCAATTTTAGTAATATTTTTAGCATCCACTTTAGTACCAGGTTTAGAACCATTTTTAGAAGGAGTTTTAGTACCAGTTTTAGATCCATTTGTAGAAGCAGTTTTAGAACCATTTTTAGATGCAGTTATAGCACAAGTTTTATAACCATTTTTAGCAGCAGTTACAGCACCAGTTTTATAACCATTTTTAGTAGCAGTTTTACCACCAGTTTTAGAACTATTTTTAGCACCAGTTTTAGCAGCAGTTTTAGAACCATTTTTATAAACAGTTTTAGTAATAGTTAATCTTAATCAATCTAAAATCAATCAATCTTAATCAATCTAAAAAAATCAGTTCTAAAACTGGTTCTAAAACTGTTGCTAAAAATGCTTCTGAAAACGGTTCTAAAACTTGTGCTAAAACTGCTGCTAAAAATGGTTTTAAAACTAGTGCCAAAACTGCTTCTAAAAATGGTTCTAAAACAAATTTTGCACCAGTTTTAGTATTGTTATTTGAAACAGTTTTAGCATCAGTTCAAAGTATGGGGGAAAAAATAACTTTTTTCAAAATTTCTGAACTATGGGCAAAATATGGCGAACTATGGGTGGAAAAAAATTACACAGGCATGAATTTCGCTCTTTTTCATGCTTTCGTGGCGGGGCAGAAATCGCATTTTTTGATTGATTAAGTGTAGCGGGAATAAAATGCTCGCTAGGAGCAGAAAGTAATGGCAGACAGGGAGAGAAATACAACACGAGTCTTCTTGACCGACCAATTTTTTATTCTTATTATTTGGTTTTTCTATAGTCGGGACCGAGGCGCTGCCCCTGGTTCCAGGTGATTATATTTATATTTTGCCGCGAAACTCCTACCTTTGTGGTAAAAAATATCGTGTGTGTCACGGGAAAGAAGCTTTTTTTTACTTGTGTGAAGTTTTTCGCCCGAGCCGAAGAAAAACCAATTTTCTGTCCTTGTCGCACAATATACTATTTTCTAACACACGCACCGAAAGTACACCATTACTTACCTGTGTAACGGGAGAAAAATATGTATTTTCCGACGAGTGGTAATGAAAAATAAAAAAAAAATATTTATGTTTATTGGCCCATAAAGATGATAAAAATGTTTTAAAAATTTTTTCGCTCAATTCAATAATAGAGAAATGTAAAAACTTATAGTTTTTAATTTTTTACGTAATTATTAAAATTAACAAAAATTTTGACGTTACAAAAAAAAATTTTTGCAAAAAAAAAATTGATTCTGAAATCAATCCAAAAATTGATTCCAGAATCAATTTCTTTTGTATAATTCAATAAAATTAGAGAATTCATTATTTTTCAAATTAAAAATTTGATACAAAAAATTTTTTGTCAAAAAAAAATTAGAAAAGTTTGTTGTTTGACAGTAAGCGCCAATAGATGGCAGCTTTTTTCAGACGTTTTTTTTAATGAATTTTATTATTAATTAAATTTAAAAAGATGATAAAAATGTTTTAAAAATTTTTCGCTCAATTAAATAATAGAAAAATGGAAAATCTCATAGTTTTTAATTATTTACGTAATTATTAAAATTAACAAAAATTTTGACGTTCCAAAAAAATTATTCTGAAATCAATCAAAAGATTCATTCCAGAATCAATTTTTCTTTTTTAATCTAATAAAATTAGTGATTTTATTATTTAAAAAAAAAAATCAATTTTTTTTAATAAAATTTATTAATTAATTGATGAATTTTTTTATTTATTTTTATTATTTAGTTTTAAATCATTATTTATTCAGGTGTTAGTAATTTTTTTTTAACTATAAAATGTATACAAGTTAACCCTACTTAACCTGGAATGTTTTTTTTAAATTATTTTTTCTCTACTTACCTTGAGTTAAACAAATCGAAGAAAACATTTGGTATTCCATTTTAGGTTATTTTTCTACACTCACTTCACTTTTTATTTTACATTTAATTTTTTAATTTAATAATTTTGTAAACATTTTCTGTTTACATTTTCAAATTAAAAAAAGAAAATTTCTAGTGACTTTCTCTTAAACTAACCAATCACAACATTTCTTTCAATCGGAAGTCATCCATTTGTTTTTTCACGGAATGCATTACGGATAACCAAAAAACGTAAAAAATATCTTTATTTTTATAATTTTGTAAAAATTTTTTTTTTAATTTTTAACCAAATAGTCCCTCTTAGAATTTTGTCTAGTTTTCTGTGACAAGAGGTTGTTCACATATTATAAATCACCCTGTATATATAGTTTTATCCACTCGAGAAAAATAGACGACAAAAGCGGAAGAACCACGAGAATATTTTCTAAGTGTCACGTTTGTTACATGTTACAACTTCTTGACATTTCTATTGTATCCTCCCTTCCACCCATATGACACGTCCATAAATTCCAGTGAAAGGGTTTTTTTCCCCCTATTTCTATATTTTAGAATTTTGAATTATAAAAAAAAATTCTGTAAATAACTCCCCGTGCAGAAATTCGCCAACCTGGCCCTAACCTGGTTGAAACAGGGAACCGGGGGCCAAACCAGGCACTGGTCGGGCCTCAACCAGGGTTAAATCGAAATACACGGAAAAAAATAGTTCGTGAAACTTTCGTAAACTATAGTAGTTCACTTTTGGACGGGCCCAAAGTTTGGATTTCCAAGATTCCAAACTTGGAAAAAGTTAATGAAAGATTTCCAAACTTTGGAACCGTCCAAAAGTGAAAAACTAGTTTACGAAAGTTTCGCGAACTATTTTTTTCCGTGTAGGTCTTTTTCTGTGGCCCCAATTGGGTTCCCTATTTCATGCGAATATCGAGCTTCCTAACGTGGGCCCTTTCAAAATTTCGGCACTGGTCTCTTTATACCTTATTTCTTGAAATAAAAGGAAAAGAGAAGGGGACGAAAACCCACATGGTATGGTTTTAACCAAAACCTTAATTGGCAAACTTTAGTGTTTAATAATATCAAGGAGTATAGCTAAATTATAGTGACAATGGTGTTCACCAGCATCTAAAACGCGTATGCATTAAACAAGGCGTGATTTGTAAGTCTTCCTTACATAATGAGAGAAGCGGGGTTATACTTAACTATATATAAGGGACGCTGGACGACACGTGTGTCGACACGTGAGTTTCAAACGCGTCGGACTGTGACACTTCAACCCTCCTAGTTACACCCCAGGCCTCTCTTTCCCGAGACCCCCCTTCACCCCCCTTTTTTTTAGACACGAGACTGGCTTCAGATATCGTTATGGCATGCTGCGATAAGAGATGGGGGATTGATAATTTTTTTTTTATATCTTTGTTCTTTAAATGCATATTCAAATCCGCATTCATCTCAAAAGAGACAAAAAAAAATCTAAATTTAAGAATTTTTAAAAGAAATTCTAAATTTAAAATTAATTTTAGAATGGTCCATTTGCAAAAAAAATTAGAATCTAAAATTTGAGAATTTCTGGATTTAAAATCCTAATTTTTTTGCGAAATGGACCATTTTTTCTGGCATGTGCGGGTTTATAGCGTTAAAAAAATGGTTTTCCTCGAAATCGATTCAAGTGCCGAGTAGGATCGAAAGGATTTTGTCCCATCGTTTTTCGAGGGGATTTTTCTTTCTAGGCTCGCAATGCAAACGAACCCTCGGGACGATTTGTCTCTACAGCACTCCCAAGGGACCAGAAGGAATACATTCTGTGTTCCGGAGGCGGGTGCGCATCTGTCGCATCCTATATAGGATTCGAATTTTATACTCGAAAAAAACCTTATCTTGTCACTATTTCATGTTTTTCAATGTAAATTTACCAATATAATACAAACATTGGTATATTTATATATTAAATATTACTCAAACATTTAAAATTTCATTCTATTTGATTTTATTTTTATAAAAAAGAAATTAAAAAATTCTTCTTTCTTAAAGAAACTTTTTTTTTAAAGAAAATTAAACTATATCTTGAAGAAGTAAAAGCGTGCAAACAAAGTGACAAGATACGGGAATTGATCACGCATGTAACATATATATATATATATATATATATATATATATATAAAATCACATATAGGGACATGGATGGATGCAAGCAAGGAAAACTCCGTCGGGAATATGGGGATATATCTAGGCCTTGATCCCGTAGTCTATGCCTTGCAGCCGCTCGTAAACTGCACCCTCTGGCAAAAACACATTAAAATCGAATTGACCAGATGTCCAGAAACCGAATCCCAGGACTATAACAACACCCGTCTGTCTAATGATGTTAGGCCAATGCTCAAAACGCCGTCACAGTAGCACACTCGATTCGCGATTACACTCATTCTTCAATACTGTGGCTATCAATCAAGTTACATTTTTTTTTTCCCTCTTTCTTTTTATTCTTTTAAAAAAGTTAAACCTTCATTGATTCAACTTTTTTTTAAAGAAACAAAAAAAGGAATTCAAAGAAATATAAAAATAATAACAGTGAAAATAAAGAAAAAGTTACATTTAATTTATAAGACAAATTTGACTGATAATAATAATTAATAGATTCAAAGAAATAGTAAAAATAACGAAAAAGTTCGCAATTAAATTTACCCTTATATTTGTTATAAGAAAAATTATTCCGATTCGAGTAATAATTAATATAAATAATAAAAATTAATTACGATAGAATTATTGAAAATATAAATATATAAAAATAAATATATATAATTCATAGAAAAATATAATATGGTGTGAAATAATTACTTACACATTGATTTATACGGAAATACGAGGTTGTTTATTATAATTATATTTATATTCAATATGCATCGTGGCGAAGTGTTTTAGTGTGTTTTGTGTACATACATTAGCAATATATGTATACATATATACTTTTTTTTTATACTTCTCTCTTTTTTTCATCTTCTCTATTTTTTTTTTTTTTTTTCTTCAACATGTGACTTTACGTTCGTCAAATATATTTACATTGATAGTCTCCTCCCTTTATTGAATTCTCGTTAAATTCCTATTTATATATATTTTACCAATAAAATTAATTTTGTTTTAAATGTATCTGTGTGTGATGTGTGTTTGTGTCATAATGAATTTTGTGTTTCATAGCGTGTAACACCTTTTATCTACAAGGACGTTTCAAACTAATCAACAAGGATTGTACAATGTTACATGATAAATTCTCGAATATTTATACACAATAATAATATAATAATAATATAATAATATAATATTAATAATAATAATAATAATAATATAATAATAATAATAATACAATAATAATATAATAATAATAATAATAATAATAATAATAATAATAATAATAATAATACAATAATAATAATATGTATAATAATCATTATCATCATCACCAATCAACATCACACGTCACTTTGAGTGGCATCAAAATATTAATATAATATTTTTTTTTTATAATATTCATGTTGATAATGACAATGACAAAATTAATTGATCAAAATAATATAGTTACATTAATGAAACTCAATGTATTTATATATAATATAATGGTAATAGAGATGATAGAACTATTTTACAATGAATACAAAAGAAACGTTGATCGGCGAATTCTTTTGTAAAAAAAAAAAATACATATTATTATTAAAAACAGTTTTTAACAAAAAAATAAAACAAAAAAAAAGAGGGGAGATAAAGTTGAGTTCGTCATATCGTAACAATGTTTACGCGAAAATAATTAAACAAGATGGTATACTTTTTAACGAAAACTATATACGTCCTACCAGACAAGGCCTTCGCTTTGCATCTGGTGTGGTTCGGGAAACCCGCTCCCAGCTCCCCCGCCACCTGGGCCACCACCATTACCACCCCCACTGGGATTTCCTTGCCCGCCACCTACAACAGCAAAAAAAAAAAAAAATTAAAAATTTTTAATTTTTTCCGAAATATAAAAATTGGTTCATTTCAAAGAAAATAATTTATATATTTAAGAATTTATGCACTTTTAGAAAAACTAATTTAATATTTTGTATATTATATGCAAATATGAATTAAATTTCAAATTTTTCATTACATTTTCCTCAAATTTAATGTAAATGTAATTTTAAAAATGATATTTGCTTTATAAACAAAATATTAAATTTAATACTAATTTTGCTTTGAATAAAAGGTTTTTCTTTTAAAATCGATCAATTTCGTTATATTTTTCGTTAAAACAATGTTGAAGTTACTTTTTTTTTATCTCTTCACTATAAAAAAGGTCTTATGCATCAATTAAATATACCATCTGCTACTTAATATTGGTGATTCATTATTTAGTCATGTATATGGGATTAGGAAAGTTTTATACACAATGTGTTATCATTTGAAAATTCTTCACTTGATCTCATTTTCTATTCATAAATAATAACTCACAAAAAATACAATTTAAATCAGTTTTCCACATAAAAAAAAATGGCACATAAATAAATACTTATTATTTGTCAATTTAAAAATCAAAATAAAATAATTTGATTCACTTCAATAAAATGATGAAACATCATTATTTCGTTTATATTATAAATATAAATAATAAATTGATTTATAAAAAATAATTGTTCTGAGGTGAATTCACTTCAATAAAAACACACTTTATAAAATATAGATGGAATCATTATATGGTTGACATATTATATACAAATAATATGGATAATATAATTTAATCGTCAAAAAAAGAAAGAAAAGAAAAGCCAAAAATATGGAGTATACAATATAAGAGATTTGCCTGAGTGCGCGCAACCTGAGCGCAAACAAACGTCAAGAAGTCGATTCTCCGCGGTGAGAAACGGCAGAGGGTCACAATGGCAATCAAGTTCCCGTATAATAATCGGGTCCATATTTTTATGGACTGCCCCCTCATCGCCTCGTGCGGTAGACTTTTTTGCCCCTGTCATCTTATATATATTCTTACAAGTTTTATCTTTTCTTTTCTTTTTTTTTTTGTTTTTTTTTACCTGAAGGTGCTAGAAACTCGCCAGGGCTGCCGCCCGGGGGTGCTTGGGGCCCTTGACCTGGAGGCCCCGTGAGAAATTCCGGTGGTCCGCCTCCTGCACCAGTTGGCGGATACTCCCCTGCCACTGCTGCAGCGGCTGCCATTCCCGCTATACTTGCTGGATCTAAACCTGTCAAAAATAAATTTGCAACTTTTCAAAGAACGTCGAATATCTGTCCATCTCCGTACTGATGCGAGAGTATATTTATCTTTTCCCATATGTTTAAATAATTGAGAATTTTCAAAATGTAATGAGATTACTTACTTGGATTGCCGGGTCCCGTAAAAGGTGGTCCATGAGGATGTGGTGGTGGGTGTCCACCGAAAAAATCCGGATGAAACGTAACAGGTCCACCGTAACCAAATTCAAATTTATCAGCCGCAAAATAGGGAAATCCTGGTGGTGGTCCATCGTCACCACCTAGGGCTCCATGATTTAAATTTAATGGAAATCCTCTCATTTTTCTGGTACCACCGAAAAATGGACTCCTACCCATTGACGTCAATTGTTTCAGTCTGCGCTCTTTACTCCTCTTGTTTTGAAACCAAACCTATATATTTGTCAAGGGAAAATTTATCATTAAATAAAAATGTTCTATTGGAAAATATTCTAATAGAAAAAATATTCTATTGAAAAATTGGCTGTACCTGTATCACCCTCATAGGAAGTCCAGTTTCTTTTGCAAGGCTCTCTCTAATATGCCTCGTTGGTTTTGGTGTTTGCGAGAAAGCAGTTTTCAAAATTTCCAACTGTTTTGCCTTTATTGTTGTCCTGGGTCCTCGCCTTTTGGATCCAGCTCCACCGTCACCACTTCCACCTCCTGCACCTCCGTCAGGACTCTTATTCTCCGTTTGACTATCTCTAGTTTCTGGATCACCGTCCAACGAACCTTCAACACAATCCGAACAAAAAATTAACATCAGTAATCAAAGAATAATTCAATTATTATTTATCAGTATAGCTAAATTCCGTATTTGAATCAAAAAATTCTGGATCAATCCCTAAGGAATTATACATAAACGATAACTGATAAAGCATAAATTTTTTGACTTTTTTTTCTATACCTGAAAAAAGCAATGTCACGGATGACTTTTTCAGAGGACAAACAAACGTCAGCAGGTAGACGAGTAGAACCAAGTTTTTCTTATATATATATCTTTATCAAACTAACAACCAAGCACCCTCAGAAACATCGAAACCCCATTGGATTATTGTGGCTCTACGATGAAATGTATAGGGTGAAACGATAATCTATATATACTAGGGAGAACTTAACCACGGGACAAAGAAAATGTTTGGACAGTGTCGCACCGCACAACAGGACACCCCTTAAAGACTCCCTTTGCATGGTGCTGGAAGCTGTACTAGTTATATGTGAGTACCTACCAATTCATTGTTATGCCGATAAAAGAGCAGGGAGTGAATAATGTGAGGTATACACAAGAGGCATGTACCTACATATTTTATAATCCCTTCTTTCGTTTATATACAAATTTTAATATAGAAAATACAATTTTTAACGTCAAAGAGAAAATATTATTAAAAATTTTTGAAAATAATTTTCTAGTATAGTTAAATACAAAACTAACATTACTCACCCTGATCTTCGGAGTCCTCTTGTTTGCAAGAATCACTTCCAAGAGGCAAATCACCACCGTGACCAACACCACCGTGGCTTCCTGGACCTCCAGATCCTAAATTATGTGATCCTAAATTACCACCAACACCTCCGTGATGATGGTGACCAACTCCACTGCCATCATCCTCTTCATCTTCTGATCCTGAACCCATCAAAGAGTCTCCTCCTACAATAGACAATTTTTAAATCATTTTTTTTTTTAAATTTGGTTGACAACAAAATTTATTTTTATTTCGCAAAAAGAGTATCATCAACTGTAAAACTATTTTTCGTCTTGGAACTCGCTTTTTGTACTTAGAATAAAATGCAGGGAGACTGATACTTGTTTTCACAGCTTGATGTCCTTTTCATACCCTTGTTGTACAAAATAACTTTTCACTGTGACACTCTGTTATATCTTTTATATATTTTCTTTTTTATGTACTCGACAATTTCTCTTTTAATAACAACCAAATTTCCATAATTTTAAATATTTAATTTATATATTAAAAAAAAGCAATTTTTTTTATAAAATAAAGAAATCCTTTGTTTTTATATATTTAAAAAATAAATTTTAAACGAAAAATGTGGTTGAGAGAATATATAGACGGAATGACCTGGTCCGTAAAATTTCTCGCGTCGAACGCGTTGAACTGTGACCCTCTTCGACCCCTGATCTTCTCGAGATGCCCGCCCCTTACTTGAAAATAAAAAAAAAAAAGAAGAAATAGGATCTTGGGACTTGAAAAAGTCGACTTTTCTCACATTCCGTCGGACAAGAGAAATTTACAAGCGCGTGCACCCCTTTCAGAAAAGAGAATCGATTCTAACTCGAAAGTTGTAATTTCAAATTAATCCCTCAGTTCTTTAAAAAAAAAAAATGTTGGTCCATTTTTTCAGTAATCAGTAAATTAGTAAAAAATTACAGCTTTTTTTTTTAATTACCATGATGTCCATGAACATGATGTGCAACTGGTAATGGTTTCCCTGATAAATAATCTTCTTTACAGACGAATTTATTGTCGTCCAATACATAAAGTTCTTCACCAGTGCTCATCTGTTTTCGACAAACTAAACAGGTGAAACAATTCAGGTGGAAAACCTTGTCTCTTGCCTTTCTCACAAGGTCCGACGGATTGATTCCTTCAAGACAGCCGCCACATTTTGTGCCGTAACGTCTGCAAAGATACAAAAAAAAAAAATTTATAGATTAAACATCTGAACTGTAATATCAAAAAATGCTTGAAAAAAAAGTTACAAGTCACGTTTCGCATTAAAAAAAAAAAAGTTCAATAAAAATTTCAAAATTATGCATTTCACGGTCATCATCCATTTTAAAATTTATAGATATGTTTCAAGCACCTAGTAAATTTTTCAATATAAAAATATGATTTATATTTATCCGAAACAAGTGCGTACAGGTGACGTTAATTAAAATTATTTTTTGAAAATAAAAAAATATTGACAATTTATTTTTCAATATTTTATGTAATACTTTTTCTATTGTTTTTCCACATGGACAAATTTTGCTAAATTTATTCTTGTACTGGAAAATCATTTAGTATATACAAATATACACGATGTATTTCGAAAATATTCTAATTTTAGAATCCAGTTCGCATTCTTCATATAAAATTCTTCACGATGCGGTAAAAAAAATTTTTTTAATAGTTTACTAAGAACTATTAATCTCCGAATGGCTTCTTTATAATCTCTCAAAACTTGAATGATCCCGATCATGAATATTAATGACACTTAATCTTTCGTAAAGCAACCAAAAGAATCTTTCGAACGCATGTCAACGCTTCTGATCATGAATGAAAGTGGGATCGAACTTCTTTTTTTTTTTTTTTTACAAATAAACCTTATTATGTATGAATTAAGCATTATCGAATGCATATGCAATATAATTTTCCCCAAAAATTAAAAAAACAAAAAATAAATAATTCATAATGTTGAATTTATAAATCAAAAGGGTCAAGGTGCTTTTGTGTATTTTTTAACTGTTCAAAAAAGGGTTAAAAAGTCTATTAACTTTAGGCCTCAAACAAATTTACTTCACAAAATTAAAAATTTTTAACCGTGTATTGAAAAAAATTATTTGAATCAGTTACTTGATTATTATCAAATAAATTTTTATTTGTATTAAATAATTATTTCTATTAAATAAATATTTATTTCCATTACATAAATATATTTATTTGGATTAAGTAAATATTTATTTGCATTAAATAATTATTCGAGTCAATTAAATGGTATTTATTTCAAATACAAAAATTATTGCTTCAAATACAGTTTATTTAATTGAAAAAAAATTATTTGGTACAAGTAAATATTTATTTGTTAATAGTCTACTATGTACACGAGGATAGAAAATAAATATCAAATTTTATAAATTAATTTTCAAGTCGTGAAAAAAAAATTTAAACAGCAAAATTTTCACATTAAGATATTCTATAAGTTTCAGAAAAACTTTTATAAACTTAATACAGGATTTAATAAAGTTTAGTATAGTAATGAATCAAATACTTTTTTACCAAATTTGAATATATTGTTTACCAGTCTATAAAAACTATTGTTATATAAGTTTATTAAATATTAGTATTTCTTATTTGAAAATTATTGTTTATATTGTCAACGACTTGAAAATACTTTTATACTTTAGAAATACATTTTATAAAATTATAAAATAAATTATAAAATATAATATAATAAATTATAAAATTTATTTTCTTTCCGTGCATTAAAAAAAATTAAAATCAGAGTGATGCATTAACTGTGCGCAATGATTTAATGATCTTCCCGACGGGTTAAAAGTTTAATGAAGAAATTAAAAAAAAAGTTTACAAAAACTTTCTTGCAAACTTTTGTGGCAAATTCAAATTTGCTACAGAAAGGACAATTTTTATTTGCTATAAACTTGTTTGTAAACTTCCAAAGTTCATACAACACTTTCACTACTACTACTACTATACAAACAAATGGCAAAATGTTTGCAATTAGGGTGGGCTAATACTATAAATATTATTTTAATAACTATCTTGTAAATCCTTGAACAAGTGAGAATTATATCGATTAAGAATGTTGTCATTTTTTATTTAATGTGGAAAAAAAAAGTTGAAGAAAGTGAGAACAAAAAATGAAGTACATATATATAAGAGCCGCGAGCAAAAAGATAGTATATAAGGAATCTTCTCCAGTTATGCTTTTGAAACAACCCGATATAAATAAAGAAGTGAGACCGACACAATTTGATTTGACATGGTCTTATATATTATATATATTTTGTGGTCTTGAAAATTTCTATATACTGACTCAAAATTTTTTAAACCAAAGATATATATATACTCTTTTAAATTTTATTACATTATCATTAAAATAAAATTATAATAAATTATAAATTAAAAATTATAAATTAAGAAATTATAACGTGTAATTTATTATACACTGAAAATAAAATTTATTTGATTCAAATACACGGAAAAAATCTTTATCTGGAACAGAAATATGTTTCTCTAGAATAGCAAAAACTTTTGCTGTTCTAGTGAAACTTATCGCTGTTCCAAGTGAAGATTTTTTTCCTTGACTATTATTTCAAATATATTTTTTAAATAATTCTTATTTGAAATATGAAATTTTTAAATACAAAAATTATTGTTCCAAATACAGTTTAATTCAAATAAAAATTATTTGATTCAAATATTTGCTTAATAAGTAGTCGATTAATTGAATCAAATTTTTTTCAGTATAAAATATTAGGTTTATTACTTGTATAAGTAAAAAAAATTCAAATACACAAAATTGATATACTCTCTAAATCTGAATTAGTAAAAATGTTTACTAATTTGAATTAGTGACTCACTTTTTGCTTCTGAATTATAGTAAAATTTTACTAATTGTTAGTAAAAGTTACTAATAATTAGTAGAATTTTACTAATTGAGAAGCAAAAAGTGAGTCACTATAATTCAAATTAGTAAACATTTTTACTAATTCAGATTTAGAGAGTACACTTAGCACGCAGTCAAATACAAATTTTTGTGGGTATTAGAAAAATGAATAATTAAGAAAAAATCATATTTGAAACAGGAAAGAAACTGGAAGCGTGTAGCAAAAATTGTACGAAGAATTCCATTCAAGGAATTCCGTTTGTTCCAGATGTTAAACTCTTGACATAAAAGAGATTCCTTTTGCTTGAATGGATTCTTTAAATAGAATTTCTGTGAACCTGTTATTAGAGCAGACCTGTTATTAGTCCTTTTACCTACAACGGATTGTTTTCTCACCCCCTAATTACAACCAAATTACACAAAACACATGCTTGTCTTCAAATGTATCACCTTTTTATAAATATATCTATATACATCGCATCAACACACAATAAATATATATACACAATATCAATGTGTCATCATTTTTGCTTTTTTTATATAAAAAAAAGCCAAATTTCGTATACACGTACATTTACTATTGTGTTCATAAAAAAAATTTTATCCGCAAAAATTTTTTATTTCCATTTTGGATCCGTTGGCATTTTTCTCTAAATTGCAAATAAAAAATTTATTTGCAACAAATAAATATTTATTTGGCTCCGAGACAAATATATATATAATTTCTCTGGGGTATATAATATTTATTCGAGTGAAAAAGAGTAAAATTCATATGAATATGAAGGAATAATTTGGAATTTCGCGAGATTTGAAAAAAATGAATAAATTCGAGTTGTTTTGAAAATAAAATGAAAGAAGGGAGAGAATTGACAATGAGGTCATTGCACTGAGATTAGAATCAAATTCAGAGTACAACTCACTTCTTCCAAGGTACCTCATCTTATGACGCAAGAACCGCCCGTATAGAAGTGGTTGGCAAAAACATCCTCTTTATGAATCTCGCTGATGGCTGGACCTTCTGAGAAGGGAACTTGCGCCGACTACTCAGTCGTCGTCACGCCCAACCAACTCTCGAAGAACGGTCATGCCACATCTATAATATTTCCATGTTCGAGTTTCGACGTCTCGAGGAACCAAAAGTTCCCTCGAAGAAGGGCCCAGACGTACATATATATATATATATATATATATATATATAGAGTCAAGAGTTGCATGTGAACGTGGACCAAAATATACAAAACAACTTTGGCTCTCACGACAATAAAAAAGTCACTTCTCGCGTCAAATTATACATGCAATCTCATATAATATAAGTATATATATAGCAGAAGGGCTATTAGAAAAAAAAACAAGGGGGTAGGGACAATTTTAATTTTACACTGAAAAAAATTTATTTGATTCAAATAATCGATTACTATTGTCAAATAAATATTTCCTTGAACCAAATTATTGAGTCAAATTCTATTTGTTTCAAATACAGAAATTATATTTGATACAAATAATGTTTATTTAATATGAATAAAAATCATTTGGTTCAACTAAATATTTATTTGAATAAATAATAACACAGAAAATTAAAAGGCAATAAAATAAGCTGCAACGCTTATTATTTTAATCCAATTTTGCTTATTTTAATACCAAAATGGATTAAAATAAGCAAAATTAGATTTAGATAATAAGCGTTGCAGTTTATTTTAATGCATTTTAATTTTCTGTGAAAATATATCAATATATCAATTATTTTAATCAAATTTTTCTTCAGTGTAATATTTATTAAACAACAATAACTTTGTAATAAGTGCAAAATGGAAAAAAATCTAATCTAAAAAAAAAAATATAAGAATTTATTAATTAATTAATAATAACTAATATTGTAATTAATTGAAAATAATATTAGTTATAATATTAATTAATTAAAAGTAGTTGATTTATTTTATTAAAAGTACAATGAGAAAAAAATTATTTGATTCAAACAAACGGTTACTATTATCAAAATTAAATATTTCCTTGAACCGAATAAATATTATTCGAGTCAAATTTTATTTGTTTCAAACACAAAAATTATTGATTCAAATACAAGTTATTTAATTCAAATAAAAATTATTTGGTTCAAGTAAATATTTTGTTGTTGTTTAAGTAACCGATTATTTAAATCAAATAAATTTTTTTTTTCAGTATACTCTTATAAAATATAATTATTTTAGTAATAAAAATATAATAAACATACATATAAATAATATATCCAATAAATATAATATATAGTCAATATATAAATAAAATACAATTATAA